ACCACCGGGAGCACGAACAAATAAAATCAAATTTAATGATAGAAACCTTAGTCAGTTAAATAACATGCTGCTGTCATTCTGCACATCTCTGATGTTGCTGCTATTTTCAAATATCCATTACTGTAAAAATGTCCATAGCTGCATATTGGTTATTTATTCTCCAGTTTTATATTGTTAAAACCTCGCATAACAAGGACTCTTGGAATCCGACCAGACCTCGGCGCCGCGCTATGACGTAATCGTTCTTCGAATCCGGCCTTCTAAGGATGCGTCCCAAGTTTTCGAACAGAGCAAATGACTGGAAGCCGTCTGCTGTGTTTCCTTTGATCTTTAAAAGGCCTTGAGGTAACATTTATTCTGCACTTGCTGCTATCGCACTTCTGGTTAGACCTAAACTGCATTTCGTTGCCTTGTACCTGTACCTGTGTAATGACAATAAAGTTGAATCTAATCTAATCTAAAACATGTGCTGGGAACCGGTACTATATAAGTAAACTAAGTTTGCATGAAAATTATACTTTTTTATTTAACAAACCTCTAGATTTTGTCTAGGTGTACTATTATAAAGGGGGTGAATAAAAATTACGGGAGACAATTACACATATAATAATACATATTTCTATTTCTAAACCATAAAAAAAAAATTACAATTTTTCTTCCTTTTCATAGTTTATGGTTGTGGATGTTACATTAGAGAATCTTAATTTCTGAAGTTTGGTTACTTTGGCAAAGCTCTGAAATTTAATATCAGCGATATTTAAGTCATTACCTCGATGTTCCAGACCAGAACCAGACCATCGTCCCCCGCTGAAGCAAACCTGGAAGACAAAAAGGACATCATGGGTTCGGTCTGAACCAGAATCAATACTCAGCCTCTCTCCACTCATATAGGCGACGATTTCCCCCTCATCTTTGCTTAGGAAACCCAACAGAACGTGGGACTCGTCAGCTTATCGCCTCCACTCGCCCTCTGACCCTGAACCATCCGCCCCGCCTGTTCCCAAAGATCAACACAGGATGAGCTGATGAAACAGAGATTAAATGAAAAGGGAGAAACTGTTGAGGATATATTTCTTGGACTTCAGAAGCAATCTGGAGGGAATTTTCTGGCCTTTGCCCTCCACCCTCCCAACCGCGAGCCTTTGAGGCGGGAAGACGAAGCCCCCTAGGAGGAGATTATTACTGCAGCAGACCAGGCGTAAAGCAACCCCCACCTCCTGACACATACACACTTACTTAGCTCCGTTATAAAACCCCATCTGACCACTTATGCTGACCCACTCTAGCATGCCAGGGTGCAGCGCAGGTTCGTTTTATTTTTACAAAGAGGAGGACAGCAGGTGCAGCACCTTTCCATCTGTGTGTGGACGGCTTTAGAAGTCTACTGCGAACACACAGTCACCTTCTGGTGATGATGGGCCTCTTGTCATGCTCTGTAAGTTTGCTGTAGGTGAGGATCTCCTGTCAATCGCAGGGGGATGGAAACCAGCCAAGGGTGGAGAGGTTAGAGTAAAAAAAAAAGGGTGAGGTGGGGTGAGGGAGGGGGGTTGTGGTCAGCTTACCTGAAGTCATCAATCTGCACCAGAAATCGAACGATGTCAAAATGTCCTTTCAGCACCTGCAGCTCAGTGAAGCAGTTT